TCTCCCCCGCGTGAATCAACTTGCGACACGTGTCCCACTATTCAGAAACGTGATGGTTTTTCTCCCCTGATTAAGCCTTGTAACTTCTTAATTAGGATCCAGTTTTTAGCTTTTTAGCATTCTCAAAACTCTATAAATAGGGCCATTGTCAAGGTGATTAGGGGTTAATTTTTAGGAGCCTAAATTCTCACACATTTTCTATTATTTTCTTGTTCTTATTCTCATACTTTCTTTTTAGAATTTTATGGGAATTATGTGCAAGCTAGGCTAGAGTATTTAGGTGAGGCTAGAGATGATCATATGTGTAGTGAACTTATTTGGATTTTGATTCTCCAATGGTTTGTAAGTTTTATACATTTGAGTAAATAATTTTCTTTTATCATATTTTTTCTTCTTATCAATATATTTTATTGTCAACTTTCATATAAATCTAGTCAAGCTCTTTTTATGTGATTGTTGCATTATATTATATATTGATAGGTATTGTTTTATGAGTAGTCTTTTACTGCAATATTGTCAACGGTATATTGTCGCTCTTAGATTTCTCATAAGATAATTTTTCCTAATTCTAAACGTTAGAATTTTATTTACTCGAATACATTTTTAATTCATAGGTTCTTCAAATATTTATTTTCCGGATGTGAAACTTTCAATTGAGTCAATTTATGAGTCAAAATCCAATTAGGTGAACAAAGCATATGGAGGATTCTCAAAGCCTTACCACCTTTTTATTATTGAATTTTCTCCATTTTAAATTGTTCAAAAAAATCATCAAAAACACTCATTCTTTTTCTTTGTTTGATTGCTTACTTTCCTAACGCTTTTTATTTGCTAGTCATTTCTTGTTCAATTTAACACCTCCTCGTGGGATCGACCGTTCAAATTGTACTACAATTGACCGCTTATTTTTGTACACGTTTGGGCGTAACCAAGTATGTATCGATATGGTTCCAGTAATATTTTATCAAGACCATCACACGCATATTAACCATGCACATATGCTTCTTCAATGTCAATAACTAGGTTTAGAGGGTGTTTGGTATGAGGATTTGTGTCATGATTCGTGACTCGCTATAATGTTTTCTCTCACAAAAAAATAAACGTAAATGAAGAATGATTCTGAATTATGATTCTGAATTTGTGAACTAAACGTCTACTTAATAATTATTATATATATGTTACATTGGATGGATGAATGTCATAACAAAAACTTATATGCATATGTACATAATACATGATTGATTTCTTAATCTTAAGGAACTTAATTTCCTATTAATTAAATTTATTACTCCGTGCAAAATTGCAACTAGTAAATTAGTCGTAGTCTTTCGTGCCACGCACATGTTTTCAGATCCTAACACGTCATCACCACCCTGTAAATACATATGATAATATTCGTGTGCGTAGATATATATAAGATATACTACTTAATAAGGTAGTACTCCAAAAGACTTAGTGAGCGACATTTATGGTTTGATTTTGGAGCTTCATAATGTGCTTACGCCAAGACTTAATATTTTCAAACATCAAGTACCTAGAGCAATCAAAATTGTCAAAGAATCTTAATATTCTAATACCTTTCCAAACTACAAAAATTCAACAAAATCCGATCATATAGTATAGGGTGGCTCATAATTACTTGCAACGTTGAAAATAAATTTTGAGTTTAACATGTGTGATAATATCCAAGACTTCAAACACATTGTCAAAAGAGATTTTTATTCAATGACTTGCCAAACTACTCATAAATTCAACAAAATCTTATTATTCTTTTTAAGACTGACATCACATATTGAATGATTTGAAAAATACTATATGGCATCAGTGGTGCTGAACACCACCCATGCATAAATAGGAAGTGGATACAGTAGTATGAAATCCACAGATAAGATGCAACTTCTATTAGTGATGGTGTTTAACACTGATTGTACTCACAAGCATTTTTTAGATGATTTTTGGGCATATTATTACAATACATTTTACAATACGGCATTATTAATATAGACTCTCTATCAGATTTATTGCAATCCGATACCAGTTGTTTATGTAATTATGATATGATTAGGATAATCAGATTCATAAACATTTGTATTCTGTTAATCGTTCTTTGCCCCACCAAGATGCCATCAATATTAGACACAACACTCTCACGCGCACACATGAAACTTAAAGGGAACACCTATCAATCCTGTGTGTTTCTAAGAAAAACACACACAAATCCAAGAAAAACAAAAAATTTAGATGATGTTAAAATCATAAATTTAGATTCATAAATTCAGACGATGTTAAAATCACACACATAAATCTAAGAAAAACAAAAAATGTAAGAAACCTAGATGATGTTAAAATCACACACACAAATCTAAGAAGAACAAAAAAAAAAAAAATGTATATAATAAGAAATCTAGATGATGTTAAAATCACACACACAAATCTAAGAAGAATAAAAAAATGTATATAAAATCATAAATTTAGATGATGTTAAAATCACACACACAAATATAAGAAAAACAAAAAATGTATATAAGATCATAAATTTAGATGATGTTAAATTCACACACACAAATCTAAGGAGAATAAAAAAATGTATATAAAATCATAAATTTAGATGATGTTAAAATCACACACACAAATCTAAGGAAAACAAAAAAAGTATACAAAATATATAAAAAGGATAAGAATGAACAAGTATCCGTACTAACTCGATCCCGCGACAGAGAGTCCTAGATCCCAATATATGCTGCATGTTCAGCATAAGTGGTTTGCGGGCAGGGATGGTGCCTAATGTCTGCTACAACATGAATAAGGTGCTTTCTTTCCATATAAACTAAAAACTAGGGTTTGGTTACAAAATCATCAATTTACAAAAACTAGGGTTCGCTTGGTTTCCACACAAAAAAGGGTTCATTTAGTAAATGAGTTTAAATTAGAATGGGTATAAACATGTGAATTTTGAACTATAGGATTTGAACTAAATTTGATTATAAAAGAATTTAGATTTAAAAATCTTTTTATTTTGAGAGTTTAAATGTCAAATCAAGAGTTCAAACTCCTTTTCATTTTTTTTAAAAATAAATACTGATTAATTGAACTCGAATCCGGATTTAAACCCTTGAACCCTCCAACTAAAGGATCGCTGAGGGTTTGAAAGACACAAACAGAAATATATTGCTGTGGGATCCCATTCTCTTAAGGAGACGTTTGGTTCATGGATTAAAATCATGTGATTAGAATTATTTTCGATTTACGTGTATTTTTTGTGAGAAAAAATACTGTAGCGAACTACGAACCATGATTCGAATAAGGGAACGAATCTAGGTACCAAACATATCCTTAGTTAAAGAAGAAACTAAAAAAATCGAAAAATAGTCATGTGGTAAGCACCTGATCTGTTTTCCATTTTGATGTCTCTTTTTTTCTTTCTAAAAATAAAAAGCACTTCTTTCTTTTATTAACTACTTCTATTATAAATAGCTTTATTACCACTCAAGTATGTGAATATCCTTTAATTAAGCCCAAAGCGGCTGCTACGGCAGAGCATTATTTGCTCCACGAGGTCAAAATAAGACACCTAAAAGAAGCCGGACATCCATAAATGGACAAACGACTTGGAATATTTATGTCGGGTCCCATAAAAGATTCATTATACAATCCCACTTCTCTAAAAAAGTATTTAATATATATGTAAATTAGTAGAAAAATGAAGCTTAAATAAAAATGTGAATTTAGTGACAGTACATGTTCATTAAAAATGTGGGTGAACATTATAGTATTACACCATAACCATGTAAATAAAAGTTAAAAATTGTGGACCACCAAGTTTGTTTGTTTGTTTGTTTTGTTTGTTTGTTTTTTTTTTGTGTGTATATGTTAGATAATACAACATTTCTGCTTTGTATTTTTGGAAAAAACCTTCCGATTATCCCCGCTCGTTTGGACTTAGTATACCTGCCTTAAAAAAAAAAATCACACATTTATCTATTCAATTCATAAAATTCCAAAAATAACAGAAAAATCAAGAAATAAAAAAGCAAATACTTAATGTATTTTTTCCTATAATGTTGCGATTTTTTATTTTTTAAAAATTTAATTTTGCTTTCTTTAACATGTTTTAGATTGAAAGGGTAGAAAGAAAAAGTTTTTTCTTTTCTCAAAAAAACTTGCTTAAGGTGCCAAAGAGTATTTTTGTTTTCTAAAATACGAGATACTTTTTTTTTAATATCATTCAAACACTGAAATACTAATTCACAAATTAAAAAAAAAAATGAAATTACTATATTAATAATTTTACTTTTTTTTTTTTACAAACTGCAAAATTATAAATATAACAAAAAAAGCGTCTTTTTTCTATTGTGAGACCTCTTAAAAAATTCACCGATAGAATACTTATTTTGATTGTTAAATTACTTTTTTAACAATCAGATCTGTAAAAAAAATAATTATGTATGACGTGTTATAAATTTTTAATACGGCTCTATTCGAATCTAGCTGTTAAAAACTTAATTTAATAGTCAAAATAGGTGTTCTACGGTTGAGTTTTTCTTAAAAGATCTTCCGACTCAGGAAAAAAAAAAAAAAAAAGGAAAAAGAGAATAAGCAAGAGAACGTGTCAAATGTGTCAAAATCAATGACAGCTGAATCACAGCCCACTCAATAAGTGGATAGATCCATACAAGAGAGACACGGCTGCAGCAAATTGAGTTTTGAGTCCAACTCTGACTGTAATCCAACCGTGCCACGCTTTTTTCTTTCTCTCTTGTCTCCTAAGAATTGATTACTTCCTAAATTTATTTAATCTTAGTCCAAACAATGTTGTTAATTGCTTCCAATTCCTCATTAATCTCGTGAAGTATCAAACTTTTGGCTTTGGCATTTTCCACCCAAAAAAAAAAAAAAAATTTGGCTTTTGGAGGCCTCCATCTCTTCACCTTCCACACGCAATCCTAGCCGTCCAATAAATCTTGCCATCCTCTATATATACCAGACCGTCCAAGCCTCTCTTCCTCATTCTCAAGTGTGTTATTTAATAGCTAGCTAGTTCTTTCAAGCTCAAATTATCTTGGCCTTTTATTATTTCATAAATCTCTTTGTTTTAGAGATTTATATAGCAGATCTAGCTGGCTGGAGATAACTCAAAATGGCTTGCTTGAACGTTTGCAAAGGACAGGTAAATTACAGAAATCTAGTAATTTTTCCTTTCTAGAATTGAAATTAAAAGAAAAGCTAGCGTCGTTGTTGATGTGTGTTTTTTTTTAAGTTATATATATATATATAGGTATTTTATCTTCATCTTCCTATATAATTGCTACGTAAACACGTCTGAATACATGTATATGTAACATGCGTAGAATGCAATATACATAGTTTCAGTGTTTTAGCGGAGCATCATACGTGTATGTATATATATATATACACACACACATATATGTATACATATATATGCGTAGCATTAAATATGGATAGGCGTTCACTATCGTTTCTTATATCGCTGCTAGATCTAGTGTAGATGGGGACGACATACATAGTCTACGTCATGTAATGCAGAAAAACGATGTCAAGTACATAGGTATATAACTATATATACAGAGAGGTATACATACAAAAATGCATACATACGTGTGTGTAAACATATTCTCTGGAAAAGTGTGAATTTTTCTTGTTTTGTCAGTTTAATGCATGGTTTGGTTCTGTATTTTTATTAATCAATTTAGTGGGTATTTAGTATGAAGATTCGTGTCATAATTTGAATCATGATTAGTGACTCGTTACAGTGTTTTTTCTCACAAAAAACACACATAAATTGAGAATAATTCTGAATTATAATTTTAAATCTGTGAACCAAACGTCGAGTTAAAGTAGTGAGTTTGACACAAGACTAGTTGTTTAATAGCTGGATACCAATTTAGTTGGGGATATATACGGCGTTAAAACTTCTCTCATAACCTATCTTCTCTTCTCTTGCCTTTACTTATAAAAAAATAAATATCGTGTATATGCGCGTATATAACACGATCCGACTATCGTGAATAGTTGTATATAAGTGCTTTGATCTGCTTCCATTAAAAAAAAATAAAAGCACTTAATCTGTATCATATTAACAAGAGAGATAAAGAAGGGAAAAAAAAAAAGAAAAAAGAAAGACTTTTACGAAAGAGACTACCTAATAATGGTTTCGAAACAATAAAGGTGATACGCAGAAGTTTGAACTTTGAACAATACTAGAAGTACGGTGATAATTAACGCCACTCACTATAAAATATAGATTTATAATACGAGATTAAAAAAGTTTAAGGACACTACCATTAATTGAAAGTGAATTCTATTTACAGCTCACATACCCATTTTTTTTATTAATGAGTGGCACTCATTGCACCACATATAAAAATTTATGAGACTTATTTTTTATAAGTTATGGTGTTTAATATCGAAAATATTTTTAAGCAATATATATATATATAGGTTAAATTACTGTTTTTGTCCATAATTTGTCTGGTTATGAACCATAACTTGACAAGTTATTATCCATAATTGTCCATAACTTGTCTGGCTATGAACCATAACTTAACAAGTTTGTCCATAACTTATCTGGTTATGAACCATAACTTGACAAGTTATGGCCTATTAATTTCTATAACTAAAAATTGACCTATATACTTTCTTAAGCTTTTCATATTGACCTATTTTCTACTATTTTCCTTTTTTTTTATTAATGAGTGGTACTCATTGCACCACATATAAAAATTTATGAGACTTATTTTTTATAAGTTATGGTGCTTAATATCGAAAATATTTTTAAGCAATATATATATATATATATATTTTATAATATTGCCATGGAAACAAATTAAGGAAAAGTCCAACTCTAAAAGATTGATCACTATATGTACATAAATATTTTATATAATATATAATTGTTTTCAGCTAAATTTGTATGAGCAGGTTGTTGCAAAGGAGAGGAAGAAGCAAAAGAAGGAATGTTGGGAAGCGTATACCCAGGATGGAAGCGTTGATAGGCATGGCCACCCTGCAGTTAGAGGGAGAACTGGATCTTGGGTAGCTGGAATTCTGATTCTTGGTATGCAATACGTATACATCGTCACTTCCATTACATGCCCACAATTATTATACGTTGCATCAAAACTTTTATTTCTGATCATTTAATATTTTGTTTCTATATAGTGGATGCCTAAAGAGGGCACAATCTCTTTTAGGTGGCATCTTTTTTGTTTTTTGTTTTTTTGATTAACAATGATCATTTTTGGGTAGCTAGAATATCCCATGTAGATGCACTAACTAATCAAATATACTTTAGCAAAAAAAAAAAAAAAAAATCAAATATACATATATAATATTGTTTCTCCGTATAAATCACTAATTCTCGCTCCTCATGCACTGATAATGAAATAACGTAGCATGATTCTTTTTTTTTTTTTGGAGGCGTGACATTATTCCAATTACGACACCAAAGAAGACAAAGAAAAAAACATGTGAGCCATAGTCTCTTGCTTTTGCACCATGATGAAATTTACAGTAATTATTAGATAAATTTAGAGCCCGTTTAGTTTGTTATTTTGAGTTTTTAATGTCGAGTTGATATGTGATTTTATATAAAAAAATTTTACTGTAATAAAAAAATTAGATGCTCGAATCATGAAATGAACGGGGTGTTACATAGTCATAAGATGGAAACTTAAATCCTTATTTACGATTGATGGTTAAAATTGGGCATGCAGTGAATCAAGGATTGGCAACATTGGCATTTTTTGGGGTGGGAGTGAACTTGGTTCTGTTCTTGATAAGGGTGTTGGGGCAGGACAACGCAGAAGCTGCAAATAACGTCAGCAAATGGACAGGGACGGTTTACCTTTTCTCACTCGTTGGCGCTTTCCTAAGTGATTCCTACTGGGGAAGGTTCAAGACTTGCGCTATCTTCCAAGCCATCTTTGTCCTTGTAAGTCCACTCTTCCCTCCCAACCAACTAATCATCATGATACATCTTAATTATTTGTGTCAATAATATTGATTCTTGTACCACGATCCATCACATCTGGTGCTAGATAACCCAAATTTGATTGAAAAAATTGATGTTTAGTATCAAGTATCAATTTTAATAAAAAATGAGTTTCATCTATATATTCCTAAAAATAGTATTTAGTATTATTAGTGTCCTCTAACAATATTGGAACCAAAATACATGCTATTAATATATATATATATATATATTTATATTTATATATATAAAGAGTTTAGGAGGATTTAGAAAAATTATGGCATAACCTTTTCCATTGATTTGACTGAATATATATAGAGTTACAAGATAATTTCAAATATTGAAAAAGATAAATCTAACTAAATGAGAAACTATCTAAATAATTACAATAAAACTCAAAATTTGAACTATAGTATTTTATTTAAAACTTAAACATACAGGAGGGTAGAGTGAGACTTAAATTTAAGAACGAATGAGTTAATAAATATATATATATATATATATATATATTACCCATAATAAGAGTCAATAATTTAATACTAATATTCTGTATCTACACTGGCATTTATAAGACGGAGAATGCTACCTATGGAATCTCATTCCTGATCAAAATTTACACCTCTTAAATTGATTTTTCTCTATGGACCCTTATTTTTCTTAAAAAATAATTGAAAAAAAAGGCACTTTATAAGTGTATTGAAATTTGACAAGTGTGCATAGAATAATTAAAACCCACAATGACAAATATAATTTTTCTTTGAAGGTACTCAATATATTAGAGCTGTAGTCATGTGTCCTATGTTGGGTTGTACAATTACAATCATAGAAAACACTTATGCGGGATTTTTGGCCGTGTTTATAGTTACTTTTGTTTTTGTTTTTCACGTTTTTAAAAAAATAAAAATGGAAAAAAACAATGTTTGAATATTTGATACAATTAAAGATAAAAAATAAAAATAAAAATAATTTTTTAGTTTAGTATAAAATGTGAGAGAAATAAAAAATATTTTTAATCGTTTTTCATTTTTTATTTATGTTTTCTGCTCTCTCAAGCATACAGAGAGGGATATATTAATAAATTTTTTTATATTGAAAATAATCTCTTAACAAAACTATCAAACGTATTTTTAAAAAAGATTTTCGTCTGAGACTGAAAACATTTTTATTTTTATTTTTATATAAAAAATAAAATCATTTTAGAACGAGTTTTCTACGTACAATTTGTTTCAAAATGCAGGGTTTGGCATCATTATCACTATCGTCATACATGTTATTACTCAAGCCTAGAGGGTGCGGCGATGGAGAATCTCCATGTGGTCATCATTCATCCTTTGCGAACGCATTGTTCTATGTCTCCACGTACATGATTGCCCTAGGAAACGGAGGGTACCAGCCCAACATAGCCACATTTGGGGCAGACCAGTTTGATGAGGAGGACTCTAAAGAAGGGCACTCGAAAATTGCTTTTTTCAGCTACTTTTACTTGGCGTTAAATCTTGGCTCACTTTTCTCGAACACAATCTTGGGCTATTACGAGGATAAAGGGATGTGGGCACTGGGATTTTGGGCATCTGCCGGGTCAGCAACCTTAGCATTAATCTTGTTCCTTTGTGGCACCCCAAGATACAGGCACTTTAGCCCCAAGGGCAACCCTCTCTCTAGGTTTTGTCAAGTCGTCGTCACCGCGGTGAGGAAATGGAAGGTCGAGATGACGCCAGGTGGCGATAATCTGTTTGAGAATTGTGAAAAAGAGTCCTCTCAAAATGGTGCGAGAAACATACTCCACACAGAAGGATTCAAGTAAGTTCCCTAATTTTTGGCCAACAAACAGTTCCCAACTTCAATATGTTTGTTCAACTTGTCAAATATGATGTTTTTTTTTTTTTTTTTTTGAAAGAGTAGAAAAAGTGACAAAAACTAATGAACAAGATGTAATTTTGACTATAGTTTTAGAAAAAACCAATTAACATTCAATCACTACAAACTATTTGCTTCTCAGCCAAACAAACAAAACAACGTAAAAATGACTTTTGACAACAAAACAGCAACTTTATGTGAGCAAATGAAAGTGACATAAATAAATCTTTTTAGTACCAAACCTTTTACAGTCACGTTTGGCTTACGTGGTCGGAAAGCAAACTTTTTGTAGTTATATGGGGTCCTTTTGATTTTCCAATCAGTAGTTTTTATTTTAATTTTCTTTTAGAGAAAAATACTATAATAAAATTAAAAATTATGATTTGAATCATGTGAAATTATGAGATTAGAATCATTTTTTATTTACGTGTATTTTTTATGAGAAAAAACACTATAGTGAACCATGATTCAAATCATGATATAAATTCTCTTACTAAACATCTCCTAACAAACAAGACCTAAATTATTAGATAAAAAATATATTTATATTTATATCTTCTCTCTCTTCTCCTCTTTTAATGGTATACTTTAACATAAATTAAAATTGAGATATACACAAACACCAGTAATGCTCTTCACTAATTAAGTTTTAGGGCTTATTCATTTTACTTATTCGAGTTTTGTTACAGTAAAAAACTTTCAGAAACAGTCACATTTAATTTTTTTACTATAGTAAAAAATTTTCACATAAAATCACATCTCAATTCGAATTAAAAATTCGAATCAGCGAACTAAACAACCCTTAATTACTCATATTTTCTCTACAGATTTTTAGATAGGGCTGCAGTAATCACAGAAAAAGAGCTCGACAAAACGGGGAAGAATCCATGGCGTCTATGCACAGTGACGCAAGTTGAAGAAGTGAAATGCATCCTAAGACTACTCCCGATTTGGCTCTGCACCATACTCTACTCCGTGGTCTTCACCCAAATGGCTTCCCTCTTTGTGGAGCAAGGCGCCGCCATGAAGACCACCGTCTCGGGCTTCCACATCCCACCCGCGAGCATGTCGAGCTTCGACATCCTCAGCGTCGCCGCCTTCATCTTCCTCTACCGCCGCGTCCTCGATCCCTTGGTCGCCCGCGTAACGAAAAACCCTAGAGGGCTGACGGAGCTGCAGAGAATGGGGATGGGCCTTGTCATAGCCATAATGGCGATGGTATCGGCCGGAGTCGTCGAGTGTTTTAGGTTAAAGTACAAAGTAGTAGTAGTAGAAGAAGGAGTTGGCGATCATCACAAAAGCCCTAGCTCTCTGAGCATTTTTTGGCAAGTTCCTCAATATGTTCTTATAGGAGCTTCCGAGGTTTTTATGTATGTTGGGCAATTGGAGTTCTTTAATGGGCAAGCCCCGGACGGGTTGAAGAGCTTCGGGAGTGCACTTTGCATGACTTCTATATCGCTTGGGAACTATGTGAGCAGTCTTTTGGTGACGATTGTTATGAAAATCTCAACTAGAGATGATATGCCTGGATGGATCCCGGGGAACCTCAACAAGGGTCACTTGGAGAGGTTTTACTTTCTCTTGGCGGCGTTGACGGCGGCGGATCTCGCGGTGTACTTTTTGTGTGCCAAGTGGTACAAGTACACCAAGTTTGAAGGAAGAAATGTTCAAGATCCTGATAGTGCCACTGTGCAATTGGCTGCTGAGCTTCGAGTTTGAGTGGAATTTTCAGGCGTTGAGGAATTTTATTTTATTTTTGTGAATTTTTGCACAATATCATGTTGGTTTGTTGGAGAATAAGGGAAGAAGAAGAGGGAGAAATCTGGAAGAGGCCAAGTGGGCGATGGATGATCATCATGTAGTATTTGCTTATGAGCGCAAAATAGGGATGTCTAAGCAATGAAGCTAAGGGAAATGGGACTCCGTTTCTCTAAGCAGAGCACATTGTAAGAAAATGTAGCTAAACATGTGTAAATTTTTAAATTTTGAGGCACGATAAAAATATACCATACGGATAGTGCACGTTTCTGAATTAATTGTCAACTAGTTGTTTTTCTATAAAGAGTTAATTAGCTAATATTCAGAAACATGTACAATCGATATAGAACTGCTACATATGCCTCATGTGTCGTTTTGCTATGTAATGAAACAAGTTCCACTCAATTTTCTTTATGTATGTGTTTACAGCTATAAGCTTTTCTTTTCTTTTCTGTTTTTGTAATGTACCTTATGACTACTTTTTTTTTTTTTTTTTTGCTATTATTTTATTTCTCAAGTTGTGGATCAGTTTTTCCTACATTCGCCATGATATTCTGTGAGATTGTCCTCTTAATGTTATTGCTAATTACCTAAAAAAAATAATATTTTTTTTTTATTTCGTGTTCAAATAAACAATATCTAACATTTTCCAAATGTACACATGGAAGCATATCCCGATTTATTGCGACAGCTTTTTTATGATCATGATCAAAAGTAGCAGTATTTACACACTCAAAATGTTCCATAAGAAGTTGTACCAATTCAATATTCTTAAAAAAATACATTAATAGGAATTACTAAGAAACACCGTAATCCATTTGTCGAACCCAATTAAAATAAGTTTTTTTTTCAAGACTTTTTGTAGCTTACGATTCCTTAGTTATTTATGTTATTTGTAGCTATACTAAAAATTGGGAGGGTTTTGCATGATCCTCGTAGTGGACATTTACAACTGGAAATGAAGTCAAAAGTGCCTATCCATCCAACGCATATGACTTATCGAAGTGTGTTTTGAAAAGCGAGAGAAAACAAAATTTTACGCTGATGAAAGTGACATTTAATTAGCAGCCATACATACGCATGAATCATGCACGAATAAATCTGAATAGCGACGTTGGTGCATTCTTCTTGGTACGTGCATGATTATATATATATATATATAATCAAATAATATAAATCATAAATGTTTACCAGCTGTTGCTTTCCTCTCTCTCTCTCTCTCTCTCTCTCTCTCTCTCTCTCTCTCTCTAACTTACTTTGTATAAAAAGGAAAATTTGTCTAATCAATGACATCATTGGACCATTGGTGATTGGTGCTGCTGAGGATTAATTTGATGGTATTTGTTTTCTATTGTACAATTACACATTACACATATGTATTTATCCCTAACTTTGTGCAAGTCATGCGTGAGTTTATCCTCTTGACCTGGAGTAGATAAGCCAAACAGGAAATTTGCACTGAAAATTAATACAGTATAGTGACCTCATGTAGTTCAATAGAAGCGGTTCTCTTGAAGAACAAAAAAAAAAAAAAAAAAAAAAAAAAAAAAAAAAAAAAAAAAAAATGGAAAAAGAAACAAATAAAATGGATTGCGTTAAAAGACTCAACGGTCATTTGCATACAGCTCCCCTGCACGCAAATATATATTCCAGCTAGTTCTTAGGGGAAAAAGAAAAAAAAAAAAAAGATTTTCTGGTTAGCCACGTCTACTGGATTATTATTATTATTTTTTTAAACACCATTACAGATCCTTACATTATTTTTCTTTATAAAAGAATTTGAAATTCTCGTACAGAATTTTTATCAATTAATCACTAATATGAACACATAAATTAAATATGCCTTCAAATTACACATTAATAAAAAATATATTTTAATATATGACTTCATTTTTAGAACCCATTTATTTTACGTATTTGAGCTCATATATTTGAATATAAAAAGATTCCGCCAATAAGTTCTCTTACAAAACTTAAATTAGAGTCAAAATCACCGACTTAAACATGTGAACCAAACGGGCCATTATTGATTGTGGTACACAGAGAAAATTGCAAAAAATGACATTTAAACACATATTTCTGAAATTCTATTTTTTTACTGTGATAGACTACACATTTGATAATAATTTATTAAATTATAAATCATAATTTGTTAAATTTTAGACAATAATCTATTAAATTATGCCAGTTACTGATGATCTACTACCCGTAACATCTGTCAAATTACTTACTCTAAAGAGATAAATTTAATAGACCAATATTAAGATTTAAAATCCTCAATGGTATCTTTTTAAATTACCCAGGTACATAACATTTTCCAGGCATTCTCTCTCTCTCTCTCTCTCTCTCTCTCTATTTTTAGTATTTTATTTTATTGTTACTTTTATAAGTTGAACTTTAAATTCTCATATACGCACGGCAGGCTAAAATCAAAGGATATCACAAACAAAAGCTACAACAATAAAATCACTTTTGGGAAGACGTAAAAATAAAAAATAAAACTCATTTAACAAAATTACCCTCACAGCACTCAATTTTTTCCAATATTCCGTTTGATCAGAATTAATACGCCATTATTCGTTTGAGCTGCTAACTGCTTAAAACGCCCCTAAATGGTAAAAAAAAAAAAAAAAAAAAAAAAACGGACCCAAAAAAATACGGACACTAAAATATAGATGAACATGACAATTACCTTTGAAATACATTATATGACCAAAATACTCTTGGAAGTTAAATTTATGAGATGTAAAATATAGAAACATCTTAACACCATGACCAAAATGCTGCAGCTCAGATGGCCGAGGCTTTGCAAATAACGCCTGAAAGAAAGGCGCTGCGCTGCACATTTTGCATACAGCAACTTATTTTTCCCAACTATAAGAAGCCAAAATCAGGCCACTGTACGTTGATCTGTTCAAAATTAGATCTCTCCAAAAGGGGTACTTAAGATTGTTCTTGATGTTCTGTGATATGCCAACACCGTGTTTATTCTCAATCACTAGTCACGAGAAATTTATTGTTAGGCATATATCCTACCCCTTTCATATGCAGCATCAAACTGTCCAAAACCGAGAAAATTGTATTGGAATCGCGGTGAATTCGGTCTCTTGCAACAAAGGTATGAACATCACTATTTACTTCAATCCAACTCTGGCCTGTTTCTTTCACCACTCCATTGAAGTCCATTCTTTGCCTCACTTTCTTGGCATCTGCCCACATGCCTTTGGATGCAAAAATATTTGAAAGTAAAATATATGATCCACTATCTGTTGGATCACTGGAAATCGCCATATCAGCAGCGTACTTACCTAGTTCTACATTACCTGCGACTCTACACGCACTAAGCAAACTCCTCCATACCACTCCCGCTGGTTTTATAGGCATTTTCTCAATAAATTCCTTAGCTTCAAATAGCTTCTCTGCACGACCCAATAGAGAAACTATGCAAGCATAATGATCAGTCCCCGGTTCGATCCCAAACCATGGCATTGATTCAAAATGACGAAGTCCATCTTCGACAAGACCTGCGTGGCTACATGCTGATAGCACACCCACAAAGGTGATATAGTTAGGCTTTATTCCTTTTTCTTTCATTCTTTCAAACATTTGAAGAGCTTTTTCTGCTTCTCCATGCTGTGCATATGTTGATAGCATTGAATTCCAACAGACAACATCTCTCCAACTAGCGGAACAAAACATCATACAAGCTTCTTCAATGCTTCCGCACTTTGCATACATATCCACAAGACAACTTGTGATGAAAGGGTCGTGATCAAGCCCCGCCTTAATGAGCTGGTTATGGAACTGTTGGCCATGTCGAAGACTTGCTAAGTTACTTGACGCTGTAAGTAGCACCGCAAAAGTAAAGTCATCGGGCTTTTGTCCTGATAATTGTAAATCTGAGTAAAGTTTTAGAGCATCTTCACTTTCTAACTGTTTGACGTATCCAAAGAACATTGCATTCCAAACTACAATATCTTTCTCATTCATCGAGTCGAAGACAAGTCTAGCATCCTTAATGCATGAACACTTGGAATAAACATCTACCAGAGCGCTCGAAGCAAATATGTCCAATGAGAATCCTAATTTGGTAATGAGAGCATGAATTTGCTTGCTCAATTCCAGGGTAAGCAAAGCAGCCGACACACCAAGAAGGCTGACGAAAGTCAAGAGACTTGGTTGGAGCAATCGAACCCTCATATGGCGGAAAAGATCTACTGCTTCATACAACTTCTCCTGTTTAGAATATCCTTCAATCATTGCATTGTAAGAAATCACACTGTGATCGGTCATATTATCAAAAACTCTTCTTGCATCAGACAGGGAATTGCATTTTGCATACATATCAATCAAGCCATTCTTCACAAAATCATCATATTCAAGACTGACCTTGATAGAGTAAGCGTGGATTTGTCTTCCTGGTTTTAGCGCCTCAAGAGAGCCGCAAGAAGTAAGAACGCTCGTGCAGGCGAATCCATCTGGCTTCCAGCTTAATCTCGTCATTTCAGAAAATAGCTTCATGGCCTCCCAATCATATGAATTTTTCATGTACCCGGCTATCATCGTGGTCCATGTGACAATGTTTTTCACTGCCACATGATCAAAGAGTCTCCTTCCCGCTTGTACTTTGCCAGACTTCACATAGAGATCGATAAGCACATTAAGAATCGAAATATCTATTTCAACTCCTTTCCTCAACACATAAGCGTGAATTTGCTTTCCAACGTCAATGAACCCAAGCATTGCACATGCACTTAAAACACTTGATATAACATATTTGTCAGGAATAGCGTCGGTTTCTCCCATTTGATGAAACAACTGCAAAGAAATTTCGCTTTTCCCAGCTTTGACGTACCCCGTTATAATCGTAGTCCAAGTAACAGAAGATCTCACAACCAAATCATCAAACACCCATCTTGCTTCTTCTACATCGCCACATTTCGCGTAAAAGTCAATCAAAGAGGTACCCACATAGACTTCCTGATCAAAACCCGTCTTAACAACAAAACCATGCACTTGGCAGCCTTGATTGAACCCGCCCAACTGCGTGCAGGCTCGGAGAACGCTTGTCAAGACATGCTCACTCGCTCTCCAATCAGAACTTCTCCAAAACTCCGAGAAGACCAACAATGCTTGTTTATAACAACCATGATGGGCATACATGGAAACCGTAGTGCACCAAGTAATGGAATTTCTTTCAGGCATTTTATCGAACAGCTGCTGTGCGTCGAGAAGACGGCTAGACCGTGAGAAACAACGCAAGAGAAAGTTGGCCAGAAAAACATCGTGTTGAAGACCCAACACTATAATGCGTGCATGAATTCTGTTATGAAAGGAAGTGGGTTTGTCTGAAGGGTTTTGTTGTAAGAGGTTGGCCAATGCGCTTCGAAGTTTTTGGATTGAAGGACGTTGGTTTTCTTCTGATTGAAGAAGAGAGGAAGCAAAGGTGGAGAAGTTGAAGAAAGCATGTTTGGTTGTAATCTTGTAACTGTGTTTTACGCAAAATTTACGCATGAGTAAGGTTGGTTAGATTTTGTTTTTCCAAGTAAGTGAAGGAGACTCATGTCACTTTAAGTCAGTTAGGAAGTCCTAACTGCTGAGATAGGTTGGTTAAATTCACCGATTTAAGTTTTCAGTTTTATATTTCTACAGTAAAAAAATTTTAAAAAATGTCACTTTTAATTTTTTTTTACTATAGTAAAAATCTTTAAAAAAATATCATATATTAACTTAAATTGAAAACTCAAATATGCAAAGTAAACAAGATCTAAATCACTTTAAAGCCTCAGATAGAATCTCATGTCTTAGAATGTATTGCCGCTAAAAGAGGCTTGCGCTGGCCTATCCCTCCGGTTACAGAAGTCTAATGTCATTGCAGACTTTCAGGAATTTATTAGTACTTTTATTTAGGTAACATTTTTTTTTCATACCATGTGAGACTTATAACTATCACTATATTTAAAAAGAAATAAAACTACCGGAATTTGACTTTTAAATTACGTATTTATACATTCACGCACTTAACCATTTAAGGATATCCTCAAAATGATCCCTAGAAAATAACAATATACTTGGCAAATAAAAGAATAATTAAAATAGTGTCCACATGCAATGTTTTATTGTTATTGTATGGTCGTGGTCGTGGTCGTTATTATTATTGTTGTTGTTATTGTTTTTGCTGCTGTAAGAATGCAATGTATTAAATGCTATGAGAATCACGACAATAGAGACGTGTTAACATGAGAAAACTTGTTAATTAGCTGAACTTAATCAATATTTGTTAGTACTAATTGCACTATCCGTAGATTTTTTTTTTTTTTTTTTTTTTTTTTTTTTGGTACCGAATTCTCCTTTACTATATGAGAATCCTTACATATGGAAACCTTTTTTCTTTTTGTTGAATGCAGTCATTTTTTTTTTCATGATTTTCATTAAACACAATCCGATAATTAGAAATATCTTGAGGAGCACTTAATGTATCAACGAATATTAGATGTACCTGAGATAAATCAAAGGTCAAATGTATTTTCTGTAAAGAGATGAGCATATATTTGGTCAAGAAAAGACAAGACCTTATCAGTTGGTTTGGAGAATTTGATACTCTGATTGGTGAATAGATTTTGGAATAGGATGTAACTCCCTTGAAAACAATAAAAGAATTTCAATTCACAATTTAGTATGAAAATTAGGATTAAAGTTGGTATCTCTAATATTATTCTCTAATATTAGACAACCAATTATTATTATGTAGCATAAAATTAAGCAATCAAATATGCTGACTCAAAGCACTTTAAATATTGTATATTCATCTCATGTACCGCCTCCCACATATGCATCTATTTTTTTTCACTATATACCCACTGCAGCACAACTTATTGACCGCACCTGGTCTTAAAATGAGACCACGAAGTTTCAAATTGCGCCAATATTTTGTTATAACAATAACAACATGCACATGTGTTCATTAAAAACCCAGTGTATTGTCTAGCCAACGGAGGCTCTCTCACGAAAGAAAAGTGTTGCACTCCACGAGCTTTTAACTTGTACAACATGTCTGTTTAGTTCGCTGATTTGAGTTGAACTGTGATTTTATGTGAGAGCTTTTTGCTGTAGCAAAAAAGTTAGATGTGTCTGTTTCTAAGAATTTTTTACTGTAGCAAAACTCGAATCGGTAAAATTAACAATGCCTAAAAGAACAGAAAACTACATTTAAAAAAAAAAAAACTGAGAGCACTTTTGAGGTTGTTTTTTTGAGTACTAAATGCATAACATTATGTAAGAAGAGTTTATATATTAGTTTAACGTTATATTCGACTCGTATGAGTTTCATCAGACAACCAATAAGATATAAAATGACAACATATTTGAACTCGTAGTATGATAGAGACACGTACTAGTAATTGTTGCTGGCATTTTCTTTTTACAAATAAATACAAGAATCAACCAAACGCATTGCAGAGCCGCCCAAAAGTAGGCTTTTGCTCGCTCAGCAAGTAAATACGAACCGGGCAAAGAAGCAATGTCGACCACCTCGGGCGGATGAGAAAGAAGGGAGAGAGAGAGGATGGATTGATTCCAGGCTATCGCTTATATTATAATAAAAGCCATAATCCGAGTTGATCTCAGAAAGAAGAGGAGGAACTGGACCAAGCCAGCCTGCCCGGCCGCTCGCCACAAGCAAGAGGAACCCTTTGATTGCTTGTTGTACTCCTACCATATTCCTTTGTCTTTGCTTTGTACTTCAGTCTCGGATCGATCATAGCTTAACTACGTGATCGACCTATAATTATCTGTTTGTTGGCTTGAGTCCAAAAATACTTCTTTACTAGCCTGAGTCCGCGTGATTTATCTATCTCATTATAAAAGCCGAATCCCTAATTCTTGTTGCTAGCAAATGAGAAAAGAATAAGTTTTGACTGTGACAGCGACTGAATACCAAGCTAAGCGAAATGTAAGCCTGTAAAGTGACTTCCTAACTGCTGGTTGATCTATCTCATTAATTGCGGAATCCCCATGAGTGTACTTCCTGCTAGCAAATGGGAAAAGACTACTTCCTGTTAGCCAGAAACTACTAACAAAATAGACTAGGAACTAGGTCATCATAAAAAAAAGACATTTCTTTGTATCAGAGGTAAGGCAAAGCGCTTTTATTTTTCAAGAAAACCTATTTTTCTTTTCGTTAGTTAACCCATCTTTTTCTACAAGTGCTTGTAGTAATTCCGGTTTTATATTTGTTAGAATGGCTTTTTCATATTGAAAAATTCTATCTAGTGGTATACACACAACTGGTTCTATCGATGCGAATAAACAAATCACAAGAAAGTTTGGTCTTCAGAATCAAGCGGCAAATCATGATACGAGAGGCGAGTTTTGTCTTGAAGAGATTTGAATTTAACTCTTTCCACAACTTATCATCTTTCTGTGGGACTTGTTCCGTCTTCAACTCAGCTTAATAAAAAAAAAAAAAAAAAAAAATAGTACCATTGTTAACCGTTGCTACTATAAATTTTGAACGAATAACTTGTATTATTCTATCAAAAATAGAAGTTGAGCGTGGAAATTATTAGCGAAGCAAATCGAGCTTAGTTAAGAATAGTTGGTAGATAGAATACTTGATAGATCAAAGGCCACCTTACCTATGAGCTAACACCGGAATGACAACACCATAAGGCAAGTAGTTCTAGTCATTATTAGCGGTTTAAAGTATTGACTATTAGAGAGTTTCTCCGGTAAGATGAAAAAAATAAATAAATTTTTTACTTTTTAATCGTTAAATTTGCATAAGAATTCATTTATTTTGTATATTTTTTTAATCTAATGTAATTTTTACCATATCTATTGGTAAAAAATTAGTCCTATCAATAGACGGGCCTACCGAAGAAGGTCTATTAATGGGTTTTGATGTAATAGCATTCTGACAAACACTTGTAGTGCTTAGAACCTTAAGAAATTCAAGCTAATTTGGGCTTTGTTCACTTCACTGATTCAAGTTTAGAATTTGAGTTTTGCTACAGTAAAAAGTTCTCAGAACAGTCATATCTAATTTTTTTGCTACAGTAAAAAGTTTTCACATAAAATCACATCTCAACTCGAATTATAAACTCGAATCAGCAAAGTGAACGGGCCCTTGAATTTGCGGAATCAAGGCCCGCGACTCAGGAAAAACCCTATACAATTTGGACAAGAGTTTAGTTGTTTTACAACATCAGTTACACACATACACAGGCATACAATGTCCACGCGCGCACACATATATTTGCTGATACAAGTTCAAAGCCCAACAATATTCAATTCAGATTAAGACAAGAATTGTGAATTGGAAATGAGTAGAGCTCTCATGTTCTGACCAAGACAAAGACAATGAATTTGTTTTCTCAAAAGTCAAAACTTGCATTCTGGAAATAAACTCGAGGGAAATGTTCCAACACTCAGCAAATTATATTGGCCGACATCTAAATGAATCGGAGCCAAATTTGATTTACCTCACCACACATGTACATTATTGCTCATGCAAATTACAAATTGCACCACATTTCACTTGAGCGAGAAGAAAATCAACATGCCATGAGATCAAGAAAACAGCACTGAAATTCTTAACTTTTGGCTATTAGTACTCTGTCAATTCAAGAAACCTAAGAAATGTTTTCAACTTATATCATCTCTATTTAGTACGTTTTGCAGCACGCTTCCCCTGACCTTTCTTGGGCGGTCCCTTTCCTCGACGCTTCAACATTTCAAGCTTTGATAAGCGCCTAGAAAACACAACATTTTCGTATAACATCAGAATTGACAGAAGCTAGTTACAGTTCTTAACTCTACAAAGCAATAAAGCCTGCCAAAGAGTAGACTATCGCCAACATGAGACCGAGAGAAAGAACACAAGTTGTTTTTATCATAAACGAGAAGAATACGTGTTGTTTTAACATAAACGAGAGGAATGTACCTCGAAATATTTAAACATGGGATAATAGAAGTTTACCCTGAAAAAAAAAAAAGGAGAAATAACAACTCTAGCTAGGTCGCTAAAATAAATGCAAAAGGGCCCAAAACAAAATCTGTCCATAATGCTCCGAAAATGTAATGAACTTCCAGAATCTGGATGTTATACCAAGTTCCCCGGCAAGTTTTATCAGATTAATCCATTCTCTTAAAGCCTTAGAAACTCGGTTAAGCGGCTTTATCCCCATTCTCTATGACTAAAAAGAAAATGTAACTGCACCCATTTTGCGATGCAGATACAATAACAACTACAAAGGGAAAAAAAGGACCATGTTACTGCTATGGATATGAAACGCATTATGCATAGCATAGTCGTATATAATAGTAGAACCTGCTTGAAAGCTTTGTAAACCTCAAAACAATCACCATATTAGCAACGAAACGTGTTTTCAACATTTCTAAACTTAATGTGTGAAAACGAGGAAGACCTAGATCAAGAAGTACAACCATGGTGCTATCAGCATGTGAGTTCCTACGGCTGATGAGAAGCGTAAAGAAACAAATCCCATCTCACTAATTCACACTCTAGCAATGCCAACAAAGATAGAAAATGAAAGACCTAAA